GGTGGTGGTGGAGGTGATGGTGGTGGTGGAGATGGAGGTGGTGGTGGAGATGATGGTGATAATGGTGGAGGTGATGGTGGTGGTGGTGGTATAGAAAAGCAAAGAGGTTTTAGCAGCAAGAATGGAAGCTCCATAGAACAGAACTTCATCTGTTTTGCCTCCCAGGGGCTGGCACTTAAAGGAAGGAGAGAGACCGTGCCTGTCACCCACCAGCGCAATCACAGCAGCCTGCCATGAAGTGGCTGGCAGGGAGCAGCCACCTGCACCCAGGCTCTTCCTGCACTCAGGTTCCTAGTTAACACTTGGTCTTTAGAGAGCTCTGTCTGCAGCCATGCTGTGGTCTGGAGAACCCTAGCTGTGCATGTCACGGCATCTCTGCCATGTGCCGTCAGGCAGCCACTTGACCCCTGAGGCCCCGCTTCAGTGAAGGGGCCACTTCCCAGGGCTGCTGTGTGGGTGACCTGGAGTAAATAATCCTAATGAGTGCAAGTGTCTGGTGAAGGGCCCCAGCACATGCAGACAGGAAGGATCATCTGGCATTAGGAAGCCGTCAGAGACGCTGACAGACAAACCTGGCTGAAGCGACAATTGGCGAGGAAACCCTGCACTATTCCCTGCTGACGGCCTCAGCCCCAGACAGACATTAGGCCTTCTTGCACTGGCAATTCCGTTGGTCCCACCTCTGGCCTGACACCCTGTCCAAATATATCCTGATCCAAGGGAACCTTCCTGGTGCCAGCAAGGAACCAGGGAAGCACTGCCCTCCCCCAGCTGGGTCCCACCTCACCACACAGGCCACGGCCCTGGGCCTTGCTGGCTTTGCTGGCTTCCAGGATCATGAGTCCTGAGCTGTGGAGCCACTGGATCTGGATGTGTGAGGGTGTCCGGATGATGTACATGTGGCCTGTATCCTCGATTCGGAACCCATATCTGCTCACTGGCGGCCACACAGCCTGAGAGTCCACAGTCACCTTAAGGGGTAAGGAGTTGGGAGTACAGGTCATATCTGTCTGTACTCCCACATACGTGCCCACTCTGGTATCCACTTATCTATCCATCCACCTGCTTATCTATCCACACATCCATCCACCTGTCTGTCCACCTATTTACCCACCCACTCATCTATCTTTTCATTATCGTTCTGTCCATCAGTCTTTCTGACAAACACTTTCTAGGCACCTCCTATGTGCCAGGTTGTTTGGGGCACATGCATCCAAGGCATAGTCCAACAGAACATGGGAGAATTCTGAGAATATTTTACAGGCAAAACCCAATAAAACCAGAACTGTAACAGCAGGAGGCGGGCTGCATCTCACTGCCCACATAAACACGAATTCCCATCCTTTCTAAACACCTCCTTAATCACTGGCTCTGCTCAGATAGTTTCTCCTGGGAGATTTTCTCTACAGCCTGGGAGGTTAGGTACTCCCTCCCTGGTATCAGCTCACTTCTGCGCTGACCATCAAGGAGGATGTAGTTCCTGCCTAGTTAAGGTTACCACTAGAGTATGGTTTTCTTCAGGGCAGGAACTGTGTCTGATTCTTTGACTTTCCAGCACTTGCCTTTGGCCTTGGCATCGTTTGGGGGCTCAGTCATTGTCTGCTAAATAGTCAGCACACCCCAGTTCTCACAAACACTCAAGGCTATAGCTTCTATTACAAACAGACAAGGTTAAAAGTGTATGTAACGTGGAGTGAGAGTTAAGTGTTATGCTATAAAACTAAAAGAGAGAAAAGATTAAGATTATAAAATATTTATTATGATTTACCATCCTCCCTTCAGAAATAGACTATTTTACTAATCCTTTCACAAATTATCCAGCATGTGAATTACCGAGCTATAGGAAAGAAAACTTCAGTTCAGGAGCTAGAAAACTGTGACTTTGGGAAGGTCCCAACTTTCTGATACCTCAAGCCTTCCTATTGTAATGCCAAAGGCTTGAACTCCAGATTATGAGCGTGACCCTCCATATCTGAAGCCCAGGCCCCGGGGTTCTACAGGCCTAAACAGTTCTATAAGGAATAATGAGATTGAAGTGATCATTTAGAAGTCTCTCGAGAAAGACGAGCCCAGGACTGGACAGATTCATGGCCAAACTCTGCCAGAACTTCAACGAATTAATGCCAATGCTCCTCAAACTATTCCAGAAAACAGAGAGGGAAAGAATGCTACCAAACTCATCTTACAAAGCCAATATTACTCTCATGCCAAGTTGGCTAAAGAACATGACAAAATACAAAACAAAACTATAGACCAATCTCCCTCATGACACAAAAATCCCTCAACAAAGCACTTGCAAACTAATTCCGTCATACAATAAGCATATCCAATACCAGGATCGAATTGGTTTCATTTCACAAGAGCAAGGATGATTCAATGTATACAAGTTAATAAATGTAATACAGTGCGTAAAGAGACTCATGGGGACAAATCACATGGTCACCTCAACGGATGCAGAAAAGGCCTTTGACGAAGTCCAGCATCTTCTAGTGATGCAGGCCCAGGAGAAACTAGGAATAGGAAGAATGTACCTCAACACAATGATGACTAGAAAATAAGCCCATAGGCCACACTGTATTCAATGGAGGGAGAAATAAAAGCATTCCCTCCAAACTTAGGGACAGACAAGGGTGTCCACACCCTCAGCTCTTGTTCAGTTCAGTGTTTGGTTGTATCTGGAGCAACAAGGCTAGAGAATGAAACACAAGCAATGGAAACAAGAAGGTAAGCACAAACCACATTATCCCTCCTCGCAGATAACATAATCTCATATCCAAAATACCCCAAAGGCTTCATCAGGAAGTTCTGGGGCCTGACATTTCAACCACGTAGCAGGAAAGCAATCTCATTTTCAACAGCCCCCCCCCCAAAAAAAAAAAGCAGAAATACACTTAACCAAGAATGTGACTATATTAACAATGAAAAACTTAAGCATCATGGAAAGACTGAGGACAGAATGTGGAAAGAGCATCCACACTCACAGATTTGCAGGATTAATATTGTGAACATGGTTATATTACCAAGAACAATCTGTAGATTCGGTACAATTCTTATCAAAATTCTGTCTTTACGGAAATAGAAATTCAAATGGAAGCACAAAGGTCTCTGTATGGCCCAAACAATCCTGAGACTAGAAAGCCATGCTGGAGGCGCCACGGTACCCAACTACGAGTTATACTCAGAGCCATAGTGGAAAGAAAGAAAGAATGAATGAATGGAAAAACAAAAAGCAAACAAACCTGCACAAAGGACTAGAACAGAGGACCCAGAAAGGAACACACAGCTGCAGCCACCTCATTTGTGACAGACGTTTAAAACACACATTGAAGAGAAGGTAGTTCCTTCAGCAGATGGCGCGGAGAAGACTGGAGACCCACGTGCAGAAGACGAAAACCGGAGCTAAAATCACTCCCTGCACAAAACTCAAAATGGATCAAAAGCTTGAAGGTGCGCTGGGGAAAGCGGACACTGCTTCCTGACACAGGCTAAGACTTTCTGAAAAGAATTGCAATGGCCCTGACATCACAGCAAATTCGATACGTGACGTTTCATCAGATTAAAGAGATCCTGCACAGAGAAGGAAACAATTGCCAGAATGAAGACGCGGCTTGCAGAATGGGGTGAATCTTGCCGTTCATCTAAGAGGGAGATCAATATAGAGACTATCTATAGAACTCAAAAATTAAGCACAAAACACCAAATCGTCCAATCAACAAGAGGAAAACGAATTGGACTGTCCTGCCAGCCCAACGATGCCTGTAACCGTCTGCCCTGACATTAAAATGGACAAAGCATCCCAAATTAAATAACTTTTAAGTATACCGTATTTTGCTTTATTTTATTTTATTTCCTTTCATTTATTTTTTGAGACAGAGTCTCACTATGTAGCCCAGGCTAGCTACATAGAGGCAGCAAGCCTTTGCCTCCTGGTGCTGGGATTACAGGCATGTGCCATCATTTCTTAAAAGAGGGCGTCTCCCAGTCCCTGCCCCTAATTACAAACAAGTCTCGGGGCCTTACTCCTGCATACCCTGACCCTCTGTGGCCGGTGCCCTGCCCTGCAGGCCACATCTTTGTGATACTCACCTTCCTGTTGAAGCGGTCGATGGTGACATGATGGGCCAAATGAGTCACATTCAATACAACCAGACAGAATGGGGGCCAGTTCAGGTGTCCCTGCAGAAAGCCCAGCCTCATCAGTCCAGGGCCCCGCCCCCTCCCCAGTCCCCCTCCAACTGTGTGAGTAAAGGAAATGTGGGCACACTTGCAGGCCTGAGTAGATGGTACATAGAATCCTACCTGACCTCCTGTGAGCCCAGCTGAGGGAAAGAAGGGAGGAAGAGAAGAGGAAGGAGGAGGGAGGGAGAGAGGGAGGGAGGGAGGGAGAAAGAGGAAGGGAGAGTACTTCTCTGTCCACTTGGCTCCCAGGGTCACCCCAGCAAGCCCCTGCAGCTGGCACCTATGACCACAGACCACCACCTTAGAACGGCTCCCCCACTCCTCCATACCCGGTGTCAACTCTAGGGAGTCTAGAAAGCTACAGGGACTAGGAACAGTGCAGGTCCCAAGAAGGGCCAGGAGGTGGCACACTCCGCTCCACTCGTCCCCTCAGTCACCTGGCCTGATAAGGGGAGATCAGCTACCATTCCAGAAACCTCCTGGGAGGCAGAAGGAGAGAGAAAGGTGCCGCCATGGCCCTCCCCAGGACCTGCCCTAACGTCTGGCAGGCATTCCTTGAACTCCAGCTAACTACCCAGTCTCCCCTCTCAGCCCAGTTCAGTTCTCAGGCCCTGGCAGGGAGAAAAGCATGGGGCATTTACCAGGTTGGCACTCTTACAATCCAGGACATGGACGGAGATGATTTCGTCTGGGCTCTGGCTGAGGATATAGATGGCCTCCTTGAACAGGGCCGCATGGCTGCCATCGAAGGTTATAAAGCTCAGGTCTGGAAAGACTGAGCATCGGCCTGCAAGGGGGGCAGGGAAGAACAGGCAGATGGCCCCAAGGCCACCTAGGAAGACGGGCGGGTGAGTCAGAGATTCTGCGGATTGGAGAGTCCCTGGGGTCACAAGGGTAGGAGCCACAGTTAGATGAGAGTTCCCGTGGAAGTGTGAGCAAGAACGCAGACTGGGGAAGAGGCGTGCTGGGGTAGGGGAGAGAGGAGGATGGAGTCACTCACAGGCACATTCCCAGAGTGGGCAGCAGCGATCCCCGCCCACTCGCACAGCGAGGCCCAGGACTCCACAGTGAGGGCGAGCAGCGCCCTGGGGACAGTGTTGAGACCGGTTCACGCGCACCAGCTGGCCCTCCAGGCAAATGTGCCGGATGCAGTCTTGTTCAGCGATGGGCTGTGGCGCAAAGTGGGGTGTCGGCGTGAGTGCCCCTCAGAGCTGACGGTATTACCTGCCTCAGCCCTTCCAGAACAAGCCAGATTCTAGCAGGGCAGGCAACCGACCCTGAGGTAAAAAACTAGGAAACTGATGCCCCGGGATAGCTGGTCCCAATGGTCAACTTGAAACAACCACGAATCACTTGGGAGACAGTCTCAGTGAGGGGCTGTCCGGGTCAGGCTGGACTGCGGGTGTGTCGGTGGTGGGCTGCTTTAATCGCCTTAATGGATGTGGGAGGCCCAGCTTGACCGTGGGCAGCACCTCAGGTTTGAGCCCCGGACTGTGTAAGTGCAGTGAAAGCTGGCTGAGCAGCAAGCATGAGCATGCATGCATCTATTCTTTCTCACAGTCCAAACCACATTCTCATCCCACACCCCCAAAAACACACCAAGTCATCCAATGGGGCCCTGGACCCAAACAGGCGGGGTGGGACCCTGCTGTGGTTTCAGGGGAGACCTGGGGGATTTTGAAGTACCAGGAGCTTGAGATAGGGATAAGCAGGGTCAGGGACACTAAGGCCATCTTGCAGCAGAGGGTTTCGGAAAGGACAGGGGCCTTGACGAGCCCAGCCTACGACCATACGGTGGGGCCCATCTTAGTGGCAGGGAGGAGGCCGGGTCTTGGGGAAAGGATTCACAGCCACTGAAGAAGCTGACGAGTCACTCACCACACAGGTGGCAGAAATGTTCACGTCGACCTCCATCGATCCCTCTGCTAAGCTCTGGGCTGGAGCTGAGCGCCCTGACTGCTCCGTGGTGGCCTGCCTCACTAGATCCTCTTGGGGCTGGAGGCCTGCTGGGGTCCCATGGGCCTCTGCCAGCTGAGGCAGCAGAACCAGTGAGCTCTCCCGGGAGGCCGTCCTGGCTGATACCCGGCTTAGGGAGTAGGATGTGGGCACCAGTGGCCCTGTGCCAGCCTGGGGTCCCTCCGCCTCTGTCACCAAGGGGCTAACAGCATGGCTCACTACAGCTGTGAGCTCTGTGAACCCACCCTGGGCAGAGCCAGAGATGAAGGTGGGCGGAGTTACTTTCTTAGATAGGATGGCTGCTTTAGGGGTGGTGCTCTTCCGTGGGGCCACAGACACTGTGGGGGGCATCCCAGCAGTCACCGCTGAGGCTCCAGAGCTTGGCAATGTGGCTCCCAGAATTAAGTCTGGAGCCACAGCTGTTACTTGGGGTTCCATGGGGCTAGGTGAGTGTGCCTGGTCCTCCACAGCAGGCGTGAGAGGCACTGTCAGACTGAGTGTGTGAGCAGGTGGTGTCACAGTCGTGGCCACGGCCGGAGTGGTGGCCTGCCGCTGCGGTGGAGGGGTGGTGATAGAGCCTGGGGGGCCCGGTGTGGCCACTGGGGCAGATGTGCCCGCTTTAGCCAAGGGCAGGCTGGTGTCAAGAGGCAGGCCAGAGAGAAGCTGGGGTGGCCGAGTTGACTCTAGAGGAACTAAAGCTGTGGCCCCCAGTCTGTGAGCATCCGTGAATGGGCTGCCAGCAGCCAGGGTCCCTAGGGACAGCGCTGGAGGCCCGGGGGCTGCGGTGGAGTGTTGGGCTGGATGAGGTAAGTCAATGGGGGCTGAGCTTGGGTGTGAGGAGACTGTCAGCCTCGTAGGCTGGCTGTGCCCAGGTTCTCCCTTCTCTGTAGCTGCCAAGACCTCCAAGCCCTTGGTGACGAGGGGACTGCCCGGAACCCTCTGTGCTGTGCTCACAGCCAGGGCGTGGCTGGAACTTGAAGTGCTCTGGGCCAGGACGGACGGGGACATCACTGTCTTATCTGTGACCTTAGTTACCGGAGTTGTCAGGTGGGACCCCAGGGAGGTGGGGGGCCTGGAAGTTGCTCCAGGGGAAGCCGCAGGTCTGGAAGAGGGGCCTGGTAGCCAAGAGGGCTGTAGGGGTGTAGTCCTAACAGGAAGGGAGTCACGACTTAGGACTGTCACAGCTCTGGTCATGAGCGGGAGGCGAGGTACAGGGGGGGACCGGGAGGAGACCGTGGTGTTGGGACTCCCTGCAAAGGTCGCGGTCACTTTGGTTGTCTCTGTTGTGCCAGATACAGTGCCAGATGTGGGTGTCTGCGGAGAACTGAAGAGGGAGGATGAGGACCCTGGGAGGCGAGAAGTGGCTAGGAGGCTGGCAGCCCCTTCCTCTCTGTCTAGGGCCTCTGTGTGGGGAGCAGGAAGATTAGATGCTGTAAGCCCCAGTGGGGGGTGCAGCGTGGGATGGGTGGGGCCCGGAGACAGCATTGGCCCCACGGGGGCAGCCATTGGCGGGTTGGGGGCTGAAGTCAGCGGGGCTCCTGGGACAAGGGCAGGCCCGTGGGTGGGGGCACTGGGAGGCTCCCGTGGGAGCTGCTGCTTGTCACTGGGGGTGGGTAGCGCTTGACCAGGTGCCAGGGTCTCATTGCCAAGCGCCTCCGTGGGGCCCTGCAGGGCTGGCTCCACACCTGGGGCAGACAGGAGAAGAGGCTCCTAAGGAGGGTGACTGCCCCTAGCGTCCCTGGGGGGGGGCAGGCCTGAGGGAGGGGGCCGGAGGACCAGCACTCTAAGCAGTGGGGCAAGCGTGGCTTCTGAGGACAGGCAGCCAGGGTCTTTGTCCACAGAAGCCAGCGAGGCTGGACCCTGTGCATCGTTTTGCTAAGCCTGGCTCCCCTGTGCAGTCAACATAAGACCCCAAGCAAGACCTCCACCCCTCCCTCCTCCTTTTCCTGAAGCGAGGGCCGGACAAGGCCTCGCCAGCTCTGAGGTTCTTTCCTTCTAGGGCTCTGTGCTGACTCGGCTGCCCTAGGACCGGGGACCCTGAGCCCCTCTTCCCAGGAACACCCTGGAGACTTGAAGGAGTCGGGAGGAGGACACCAGGCCGCTTACAGTCTTCCAAATAGACACATCTCTGCGTGACTTCATCGAGGACCTTAGGGGTGGGGCACACAGGGACACAGCCTTCCACCCTAAGGACAGAGCAGGGAGCTGGTCGGTGATCAGAACACAGTGCTGGCCCCCCTCTTCTGCCTGGATAGCACACAGGCCCCGCCCTTCCTATGGCAGGTGCGTGTGTGCATGTTTATCACGCACACTCTCATGTAAGGCTCTACAGAGACCTGGTCACACGTGTGTACGGTAGCACCCTGCCCACACTCTCGTGCCCTGGCCAGCAAGTGTGGCTATGGGCACACCTGTGCAT